CTGGAATGAGCTGCAGAAACCACTGAAGCTAACCACCTACATTCCATTATCTACCTTCATTAATTCATGGTGATCAATAGTTTCTGATCAATGTTCCTGCTTCTGAGTATTAAAGTGTTTAGTCTGTTCTGATAGCTTGTACATGTTATATATGAGAACAGTCCTTTGTCTTTATGTCTGACTGTTTATCTGTTGTTCTTTGGTGTAAAGCTAACTATGTTGCTGCTGCCTCTTGGCCAAATCCTCGATATAAATGAGAATGACTTCTCTATCAACTCATCTGGATAAATAAAACTAAACTAAAACAAGCAAACAAACTTCTGTTTTGTTCATTTTTTTCTTAATGGAAGCAAAACATTTAGTTTTTGAACAAGTTTGATTTAATTTGTTATTTTTGTTTCTATGCACAGAGAAACAAAATAAATGCCATTAACTTGAACCTAAACTCACAATAGAGGTGAAGCCAAGTGTCTGATTTCCTGGGTCTTCGTCTCATCTGGCTTCAGTTTGATGAAGAGCGCTGGGTCTGACCGGTGCTCATAAAGGAGAAGACTATATGACATATATATAATATATATATATATATATATATATATATTTATACTGTAGCTCAGAGTGCAGGTACTTTATCCAGCATGTATTTACCGAAGCACCAGCAGGAGAGTCAGCAGACGTCTGTCTGACCATAAAGGTGAAAGGTCAAAATGCTGCTGTTGCAGGCAGCAGCAGGATTATGTGAAAGGCATCAGACAGCTGTCCACACATCAGATGAGTTATTTATTAATCAGTGGTTCTGCTCCCATCATCCACCCCGTCCTGTCTTCTACAGATGTACGTAGATCCATGTCGACTTTATCTAAATAACTTATTATCTTTTGTGATTATTTTAACATTTTTACTGTGCTTGTGGAGCACCTGATGGTTTTTATCTTGAAAAGCAGTAAAACACATCTCTTGTTCTTCAGGATGTGGGGTATGAGGTCAGAGATTATAACCATAGGCTCAGGAACAAAGTAACGACATTATCCCAGATTAAAAACGCGGCGCTTAGAAAACTCCTCAGATCAAAAATTCTAACATCTTCAATAAAGTTTAGTTCCTTTTTTATTTCATCCTACTGGAAACTGCAAACTCCTTTTCTCTCAACAGAAGCCAGTTATTAAACTAAAGTTTATGAGTTTTCTTTCAGCTCTGCTGAAACAATAAATCTATATGTAGCCTCAAATGTTTTCTCAGATTTATTTAGTTTGAAGAAGAAAAAAAATGGTTTAAACTTTGTTTACTTGAGACTGAAGCAGCTTTCAGTTCATCCCATCAAATTATTGTTTGTCAATAAATAATTTTTACATTTACTGTTTATAGTCAAACTGTTGAGAATAAAATGAGTATTTTCAATAAAATGACAAACTGGTTACATAAGAAATGAGCCGAAGTGGATCTTTAATGAAAGTCTTAAAGCTCTCAAATAACAGCAGCTTTAGTGCATTACATAAAGCAATAAAAGCCAATCTCTCAGGTATGCATGCTTGTAATCACTTTAACAGGGACGGTTATTGAGGGTTTACAGTGTATTAAGGGGAGTCCATAGAGAACACAGTTGAAGGCCGACGATGGCAGAGCTGGTTCAGATGGAGCCTTTGCTTTAGAGGAAGTGAAGAACATTTGATCTGCAGAGAGAAGATGACAGCATGAGCGCTCCACTTCATGATGACTTCTACATGAAGTCCTGTCTGTGCTCAGACACACGCGGCTGTTTGAGTAGAGTGAAAGTACCCGTTGGTCCTTAGTGGTTGTGATGCGGCGTGTTGCAGGCGCCTCGTCTCCTCAGAGCCAGGACGGTCTGGCCACAGCTGAGCCTGAGTCTCAGGGTGTCTGTAGCACATTATGGCACCATTACTGGGTCATGGTCAGATGGTTAGAGGCAGACACAAGTGTGGGTTTTACAAAGTTTCTACTGTTTTTGTCAGGCATTGCCATGGTTACAGCCATACACACACAGGCACTTACACTTTTATATTTAATTGCATTTTAAGTAGTGTTGCTCCTTGTAAGCCAGTAGTCAGGGGTGGACTGGGACGATGCCAGTAGTCCACCCTGACCTGCAGGTCCAGATGCTATCTGATGAAGCTCATTCATCATCATTAGTTTAGTCCTCCTTTCTCTGGTGGATGAGCACAAGTTCTAAGTGGGGTGAAGGTCTAGGGAGTTTCCTAGACCCAGCATGTAGATGTTCTGGTCCCGATGACTTTATCCTTCTGGCCCGGTGCTCCATCATACTGGAGAAGACATTGTTCATCATCACCAAGCTGCTGTTGGATGGCTGGAGGAGTTCCTCTGGGAGAATGTTTAGGTACCATTCTGTTCTAAAGCTAATCTGGGAGTGAGTCTCGGCTGATTATAGTTTTGGTTTAAAGTTGCCGACTCATCTTCTACAACTAGATCTTTGTAACCACAGATATTATAAACCATCCCAAGGATCAGACGATCTCCACAAGTCAACATCCATTAGCCTAATTTACTTTTGTAAAATTGAGGAACAGTTTATCGAACAGGGAACGCCTCTTCACATAAACTGGTGGTTGCTAACCTGCGACCTTTATCCAACCCCCCAAGGTGCATTACAACATAATTAGTTTTTCATCCATTCACACCCTCGTGGTGATGAACTACATCGTAACCACACTGACAGAGGCGAGGCTGCCGTACACCGGTCCTTCCGACCAAATGACTCAGAACCAGTGTGTACACCCATTTGTGCCCCTGACCAGGAACTGGATCAGAACTCCACTGAAATCAACAACAACGTTGTGTAAGACCTGAACCTACGGTCCAGCACAGCAGCAGCATCATGTGTGGCCTGTAGGAGGCTGCTGCGCCACTGGTTGAGGAAGATGCATCCGACGCCACTCAGACTCAACAACAGAGCCGCCTCCAAGGAAAGCTGTTCGGTACTGGATCAGAGAAAAGCCATCAGTTTATTTGGGTCAGAAACGGGCAAATCCATGTTTGTGTTCAAATAGAAACCAACTCTCACTAAAACTGTTGTTTTTACCGCGGTTTCCTTTCCAGGTTTGTCTGATGGAGAACGTTGGTTTTGTTCAGAACCCGGTCAAAGAGCAGAACCATGCTGCACTCTGAAGGAAGCAAACAGCGGCGCTACGGTGTTACCTCTCTCTGGGACTCATGATGCAAAGCAAACACATTTATGTTTATGTTTATTTATTTAGCAGACACTTTTATCCAAAGCTACTTACAATTTATAACCTATAGGGCATGTTGTGGTCTGTGGGGGAAACCGGAGTACCCGGAGGAAACCCACGCATGCATGGGGAGAACATGCAACTCCACGCAGAAAGGCCGCAGCCGAGTTTCGAACCTTCAACCTTCGTGCTGCGAGGCAACAGTGCTAACAACTGCGCCAATATGCAGCCCATTTAAGACCTTCTAACAAACTGAAGACTTCCTCACAAGTACCTGTGACTAATAAACACTCACAGAAAGTAAAAACTTTAACTTAAAACAGTTTCCTAGATCTGCCGAAGCTGGAGCTGTTAGTGCTGAAGTTATAAACAGAAAAACATCATAGTGTAAAAAAATTTTCCGTTGTCCTGAGCTCTGGGTTAGGGTATATGTACCCTTCCCCACTGTCACTAGTACTCCATTACTTATTCGATGACATGTGTAGTGAGGTACTACATAGAGCCCTGTGGTCCGGGACCCGAAGCCACAGCCGGCATGAAAAAAGGAACGTTGTTTTACTTTATGAGTTCATGTGTCCGTTTCTGATAGACAAAGGAAGTCAGTGCTAACCAAAATCAAGAATCAAGTTTTATTTAAGACCTAAATCCATGTATCTACTTTCATAGTTTGTAAGACCCAAGGCTGTCTATGTACTTGTACTATGAAAATGTCACAACACTATTAATATGTAACCCTAACAGCTGAGAGTAGAACGAGGCCAGACTGCGTGGAGGACATTTTGGTGTAGAGCATCACCGTACCTGAAGAGGGAGCTGAGCCAGAAAGCCAGGCTCTCGATTTACCGGTCGATCTACGTCCCAATCCTCACCTATGGTCATGAGCTTTGGGTAATGACCGAAAGAACGAGATCGCGGATACAAGCGGCCGAAATGAGTTTCCTCCGTAGGGTGGCCGGGCTCAGCCTTAGAGATAGGGTGAGGAGCTCGGACATTCGGGAAGGACTCGGAGTAGAACCGCTGCTCCTCCGGATCGAAAGGAGCCAGTTGAGGTGGTTTGGGCATCTGGTCAGGATGCCTCCTGGACGCCTCCCTGGGGAGGTGTTTCGGGCATGTCCTGCCGGCAGAAGGCCCCCGGGTCGACCCAGGACACGTTGGAGAAGTTACATCTCCAATCTGGTCCGGGAACGCCTTGGGGTCCTGCCGGAGGAGCTGGTGGACAAGGCCGGGGAGAGGACGGCCTGGAGCTCCCTAGTTGGGATGCTGCCCCCGCGACCCGGACCCGGATAAGCGGAGGAAGACGAGACGAGAGACGAGGCATCACCGTACCAGGCAGATTGAAGGCTGCTAGTTTGGCAGGTGGGACGTTTGCCAATAAGGGCTCCATCCTCAGGTAAATAAAGCCACTGCATCTGCACAAGTCCTGCTCTTTCTGAAAGAGACTTGATGGATACAAAACCAAAGTTAGCAAAGACAGTTGATGTGATGTATGGAGACAGATGGGAATCTAACCTGGCTGCGTGAGTAGTGTCCACAAGCCTCTCCCACAGGTGTGTCCAATGGTGGCTGGAGGTTTTCATGACCTCCTTCACTCTCATTCTTAGATAGATTTCTCCTGAGCATAGACAACATTTAGAGATAAGACAAAGCATCTGGATTACATAACTACCACAAAAGTGTTTACAGCTGAACTTATCTTCTTTGAAGGGGACATGAAGTACTGCATGGCTGCAGTCGGGTAACGGAGAGTTCTTTCATCAAAGCAGAATTTGGCGCATTGAGCTTTATGGCTCTGAGCACGCCTCTGGGAGCACACACACACACACACACACACACACACACACACACACACACACACACACACAGGGTGACATCTTCTCTTAACTGGTGCATAAACACGTTTTTACTCACCTTCATCCAAAGGATCAGCAACATCTGAGGAGCGTTAATGAAAATGATCTCCATGCATCAGAAAAGTCTGTCTAGCTGGTTCCTAACCCTCAACTCCTCCTCTCTGCTGTTTGTGCTTTTCCATCAGCTGGTTAATGTGGGTCAGAACTCTATGGTGTTTGTTGACTAAATATTAAATAAACAAACTGATGAAAGTTCATAAACCTTCATTTAAACGAGTTGAAAGGATACATTTGAAGTTCTGTGTGTCAAAAGCAAAGGTGTAAGAAGGTCCCAGATGTTTGGCAGATGCCTGGAGAAGTCATGAGTGTTTGTTATTAAAGGCAGTCAGCTACAAATGCGATGTTAAAAACAGGAAGTAAAGGATGGTTGTACTAAAGTGCAGCATAGACAGACTGGAGGATATTTATTATGCTAATAAAATGTGTGAGAAGACTAAACGTTCATTTCCAAACCTGGAGCAGGACAAAGGGAAATGCTTAGAAGCTGGAGGGAGGACCTATATGAAAACACGCTATGTAATTGGTTTAAAACTGCAGTTAAAAGAAGCAGGAGGGACCTGAATAATTCCTGGAGCTGAGAGCAGGTAAGAGTCATGTTCCTGTGTAAATGTGGCAGACCCAGATTCAGTTAGTGAACTCACCTGTTTGATGGTTTGCCTTTGATCCCTTTTCCCCTTAGTCCCCTCCACACCTTTGGACTTCTTTTTGTTGTCCCTTTCAGCTGCAGCAAAAGAGTCAGAAAAATTAGCACATTTATTTACTGGTAGGGTAGACCCCGCCGCTCCGGGGCAGCCAAGAAAAACACTTTATTCATATTTGCAAAGCCCTGTTCCTCCACACCGACAGGAGCATGCGTAGAAGCCCGGCTTGAGGCCTCAGAGGAGCATCGGTTCTCTCTCTCTCTCTCTCTCTCTCTCTCTCTCTCTCTCTCTCTCTCTCTCTCTCTCTCTCTCTCTCTCTCTCTCTCTCTCTCTCTCTCTCACACACACACACACACACACACACACACACACACACACACACACACACACACACACACACACACACACACACGGTAACTGTGGTATTTGAACATCAACTCAAGTGATGCAAATGATTCAACCTTTGAAATTGTACAGATGTCTGCAGGTTAACGCTCGCTGCTCTTTCTAAGAGTTATTTTTTACGTTCTAATTTTAACACCCTTTTCTTCATTTAAAGGGACCAGATCAAAGAAAATCCATTAAATCCATGATATTATTTCTCATGAAAAATACCCTAAAACCTATTTTTTGGCTGCATTCATGTATTATCCTGTCTCAGCTGCAAATTTTGAGTTTTATTTTGAAAACCCCGCAAAAGCCTTGATGGAAACTAATTGTGCCATCAGGTCCTGCTCCTCTTGCTCAAGCTAGTCTCTGATCTGGAACCTGTCTCTCCTGGAAGTAGGCCACTAACGCCCACTGTCTCCTAGCTGTGGACGTAGAGCGGTTGATTCAGGCTGCAGGTGAGGATGTGACCTTCATGTGATGGATGACAGCTTTAAACCTCCACCGGTACTAGAGTGGGTCTTCTGACAAATGACTTCTGCATTTGGAACAATACATCGATGTAAAAACCACGAGTCCTGTCTACAAGGATGCACAGTAGATGTTTCTTAGGCGACTGCGTTGTAGCAGACATTCCTAGTCCAGTGGTTGGAGTGACTGACTGGTATGCTGTCTTGCACCAGTTCACCTCCCAGTAGCGGCAGTAACTTTTTTCTTCTTTTCTGTTTTAGCTACTTTTGCCAGTTCAACCTTTTATTGGTAAGCTGTTTAAAATATAAGGACTAATCTGGTTTTTACTTTCTGTACTGAGCCAGTGTGAGTCCATGTGAGCTGAGCAAATCTAAGTGCTGCTTGGAAACGACCAAATTCAAACATCTTTAGAGACCCGCACTTGTATGGTGCCTTTCAGAGTCAGAGGACTCCAAAGCACTTTACACTACAGTAATCATTCATCCATTCACACACTGGAGGTGATGAGCTGAAATGTAGCTACAGCTGCCCTGGGGGCGCCCTGACAGTAGTGAGGCTTTCCAAGCACAGGCGCTACCGGTCCCTCTGACCAGCACCAGCAGGGAAGGTGGGTTAAGTATCTTGCCCAAGGACACGACAGCAGCATTCTCTGTCCAGAGCCAGCATTGAACCTGCAACCTTCCGATTGCTGGACAACCCGCTCTACCTTCGAGTTCTGCTGCCCTCAGATAAATAACTGCCAACACCAGAAGTCAAACCAGCATCAGCAAATGGTGAAAGGTTTAACCCAGGGTTGGCAACCTGTTCCCATCAAAGAGCCATTATTACCCGTTTCCCACAGTAAAGAAAACACTGGGAGCCACAGCAGCCACGGCGTTGTGGGCGGGGCCTACCCTCAGACAGCACAAAGTTGCTTTAACCAATCACAACAGGTGACAGCAGCCAGTACCGGTCGCTCGTGTATGTCAAAGTTATCTTTCATAAGACGATAATCAATAAAACGATTTATATAAAGTGGATCCAGAAGTTGTAGCCCGTCTCTGCCTACAAAATTTTGATATCTTTCACCCTGTTGGTGGTTTTACTGAGCAGGTGCTACTTTTGTCATACGTTTCTTTTTAAAACATGTTTAGACTGTTCAGAATACAAATCCAGGCTCTGTCACGTTTGATTGTTGTAATTAAACTTTGTAGGTGGGGAAGGTCAGAAAAAGATCCAATCAATTTGTTTTTCCCACATTTACAATGACGGAGATAACGGTGCAGTGCTCCTGGCTCTGGTGTTAATCAAGTTAAATTATATCTCTGTTGAGGGTCTGACCTCATGAGGAAATTACTATGCAGTGATTTTCTCCAAAATGACTGTGCTTAAATTGCTCTGAAAAGCAAATAATCACATCAGCGCCAAGAAACTTCATTTCCCATGATGCTTTGCACACGGAAGCATTGGGTGATGTCACCGCCTAGTACCAGAAACACGTTCTGCGCATGTGCGGGAAGCCGTGGAGCTTTTCCCGCGAACTAAGACCATAAATCTTCAGCAGAGACAAAGAAACCTCGTTCTTTTGCCCAGGATACCTGGCGGTAAGGACACGCTTGTCAACGCTCCGACAACTTGAGCACGCGGAAGCTCTAAGTGCCAAGTTGAGCCACGCAACCGCTGGAAACCACTCTTAACTCCATCGGGACCTGACTGGGAACGAGCGGAGCTCCATTCAGCTCTCAGAGACGCTGTAAGTTGTCAAACTCAGCACAAAAGAAACTTCGTTCTCTTTGTGTCCAGCCGTGGAGAAACACACGTGGAGCCAAACAACGGAGAAAGCATCAAACCGACGGATGACGCTGAAAACTGCGGAGAAAAACGGAGAACCGTCAAGTCATAACAGCGGGGGACGCCTCGCTCATCTGGTGATCAGAAAACTCATTTTTTTCTCTCCTTTTCTTCTCCCGTTTCCTCTATAGTCCAGAATAAGCAATAAAACCGCGCTATTGCTTAAAAAGTAGCTTCGTGTTTTCCTCTTTCGCTCCCAATTCGTCCTTCGGGTCATTTTGAAAGAATAAACTGCTTATTGATCATCGCTAATATCTTTAGTCGTCAGCTCTGGCCAGGCTGCCGACTCCTTTTAGATTAAACAATTTACAAGTGACCCTTTTGTTGTTTGTTAACTTTTGAAGTGTTTGAGATAAGTTTTACTGTGATTCTAAGCCACTAAGTGTTCGGGAAAGTAGAAAACTTTACACATCCAGGTCTCCTGTTGAATGCGAGGGGAGGGGAAGAGCCCCACACACACTCACAGCTCACTCCCCCCCACCTACTCTGGGGAAACAAAGACCCATTCATCTCACACACACACACACACTCACTCACACACACCACACAAACACCTTGAACATTATTTTGAATATACATTCTTTTAGTATATCACATGGTTATTATTCATTTATGCCACTGTTTATTCATTTGACAAATTGTTAATTAAACGTTATAAAATTCAGATTTTCGTCTCCAGTAGCTTTGTTGTGTCGAAGAGAAGTCTCTGCTCCAAGGATTCTACGAACTTCAAGAAAGACTGATAAGAGTTTTGGATTCAATTTTTCCCCGGTTAAAGGGGAATGGTGCCCCGTATATCTAAGAATATCTTAATTAATTAATAAATCAGTAAATATTTACATATTTACAGAATTTATTGAAGAATCCAAAAGTAAGTTGAAGCTTACTAATTGTTCGCTCCTAATAACCCCAACATTAATTGGTGCAGCCGTGTGAGGGTTGGATACACAGAGACTTTCTATCCGGCACAAACAAACAAATAAATCCAAAGAGCTTGAATTAAAAATAATCAGTTGTTCAGCCTTGAACCAGCAACAGAGTGGTGCTGATTTCGCTGAGCAGGAAGCTGCATCGAACTCTCACCAGTAACTCAGTGCTTCTTTAAAGGTGCAACGTGTAAATTAATTCTGGTTGACTTTTAGGTTAAAATTCAGTTTTTCCTTAAAGGTGCAACGTGTAAATTAATTCTGGTTGACCTTTTAGGTTAAATATTCAGTTTTTCCTTAAAGGTGCAACGTGTAATTAATTCTGGCTAACCTTTTAGGTTAAAATTCAGCTTTTCCTTAAAGGTGCAACGTGTAATTAATTCTGGCTAACCTTTTAGGTTAAAATTCAGTTTTTCCTTAAAGGTGCAACGTGTAATTAATTCTGGCTAACCTTTTAGGTTAAAATTCAGTTCCTCATTAAAGGTGCAGCGTGTAAGTAATTCTGACTAACCCTTTTAGGCTAAAATTAACTGCTAATTTAGCGACTTTAACTCACAGTGGCTATTGTAACTAACTGAAACCTTCACTCAAAGACTGATAACACCTTGTTTGCTAATATTCTGAAGGAATAACTAGCATATTTAACACTGCAAGTGTTGTAAGACGTTGCTACGGCAACGCACCAGCTTTTGCTAAAATACTGAAAGGAATAGTATTTTAGGCGTTAGTCACGGCATTCCGTGCAATCTTAAAACGCTAAAACCTGTGCGCACAAAGGTTAATTTAGTGTTTTTCTGCTACAAAGCTAGCAGTTGCTGCCCAAAAGGTGCAGTTTGAGCTATCTGCAGAAGCTCTACTAGGCTATTTTTGGTTCGGTTGTTAAATGGAGGGACAGAGTAGTGAACTGACCAACTCCCAGCAACCAGGTGGCGCTGCGGCCCACGACTATGAACCTGGCCTACTTTCTGGACAAATATTGTCCAAACTGGTCGCGGTTGCTCGAGAACCCGACTACCCTTCTAGGGATTTCACTGAAGAACAGCGTAGCGTCGAGCTAGAAGCTGTAATCGATCAAATAGGAAACCCGGATGGTACAAAACCAATCCAGGTTCACTTAGCTAAGTTAGCCTTGATCCTCTATCAGAGAGAACTCCAACATGATCGAGAGATCATGAAGCTCCAGAGCATGCTAGCTGAAAGGCAGCAAAATGGAAGGCAGAAGGATGACGAGGAGGAAGACAGCACCGATTCTGGGGAAGATGGGGAGAAGACCCCGCCCCCCTCTGCTGATGACAACAGACAGTGGGAAGGGGGGAAACACCAGGACTCTCTAGACGGACGCACGCCGCAGGGGAGAGATGAAGCTTATCTGTCCCAACCTGCGGCCCCGTTCCCTACACACACTCTAGGGCATTCAGGACCATCTAGGGGCCGAGGGCAATTCGCCCTCGAACCCCAGGTTGGACCACCACCCTCATCTTCACGGCCTTCTCAATCTGTGAGAAGTCGACCAGCTGAGCGGCACCTCTATTTAGACCGCTCCCCCAGTCCACGAAGGGTGCAAGGTGCCGATTGGGGTTATGCACCCCAAGCTGCACCTCCACCATCTACCCATCCTAGCTACTCCAGTACTCGGCATGCCGATAACCAGCTGCAGGACAAAGCATCATACGCCAGTCCGTACCCGGACAGAGCGTATTACGCAGATGCCCCAGTTGAAAGACGCAGGCTGCACTACGCAGACGTGCTCCGGGAGGAGGACCTCCCAAGACACCCACATGACGTGCCAGCAG